TGTATCTGAATGCAGTTACACATTCAGAGAACAACTGTATTGCAGATCCCAGGAATAAGTGGCTTTTTATTTTCTCCACAGACAAATTTGGGCTCAGCCCATTCATAAAGAACTTGCAGTTCATAAGCTCAGGATTGTGTAAGACAAAGGCAGAAGAGTTACAGACCAGTCAGCCAGGGCAAGAACGATGTCTGCAGTAAGATGAGGGCACTGACTAAACAGCATTGTAAGGGAGTCTGCAGAGTCTTGAGAGTCTTCAGTGCCAGCTTGATCTTAAAAATCTTCTTTGGGAATTATCTTGTTAACGCAGTTATGTCCAGCATTCAGTGTGGCAACTCCTGCTCCTTGTATCCGAGGAAGTTGAGTATCATAGGTTGTCCCTACCATTTGGAAATAGAAGTAAGACAGGCTTGATTGGAGGCAATGGGAAAAGTCATCTTCTCTTTTGTCACTGTTGAGTGATGTCACCCATGAAGTAGCCCAGAGTGTAGAAATGGAAGCACCTACTGGGGAAAGATTCGGGGAAAAAAATGGTACCAAAAAAAAAAATAAAAATTAGGGCCTCACAAGACTGACTTTTGTGGTTTTTGCTTTCTTTCACTGAACATTTAGGATGTATCTTAGACTTCTGGAAAAGCTTTTTAGGAAATCCCACCCTATCCTCAATATTTTGGAGTGGATGAAGGCAGGTAACCCTTTCACTTTAGCTTTAGAGTATTGTCTGCTGAAGAAAGGCACACCTCTGCTCCCCGAAATACACAGTATTCTCATTTTATTTTTTAGGGAATATGTTGGCCTCAATAAGCCCTATTTTGCTTCTGTTACTTTTCCTTGCTGTGATGTTGCATTGGCTTTGTGTCCTTGTTGTTTGTTATTTTTCCATTTGCACTTTGTAAGTATGTCTTATTTATTTAATGTATCCATGTTTCTGATTTAAGTTTTCCCAGTTCTTGTTCATCATTTGGCCACAGCTGTGCCAGAGTGTGGCATGCAGGGCATCTGGAAGATTGTATCTAGGTGAACAAAGGAAGTCTTTGATCTCATAGCAAAGCAGCTCAGTGCAAGCTCCATGACCATGCTGTGAAATTTATGGGCATATAAAAAGATTTTATGGACCGGGGTTCCCCAGAAACAGCAGGGAATATGCAGCACTGCCTACAGTGCAGGTCAGTACCTGTATATTGGACTGCCACAAATCAAAAATGCCCTGTTTTCTAAACATTTCATGCAAACCTGTTATCCAGCAGGGTCTTCATTGTGCTGCAGTGACAGACTTTTTCTATTCACATAACTATGACCTCCACTGAGAAAACAGAAGATTCATATATGACCAGCATCTCAGACTTTTGCAAAGTTTAAGAGATCACACAGAGCACATGTAATGGGAGTGTGTGACTGGTGACATAACACACCAGATCTGATTTTCCCCACCTTTAAGTGCTTTCCAAGCAACTTGTCTACTGGTGGGTTGTCCAGACTTCAGAGGATGATGACTATGTCCTTGAAAGCTAGGATAGCAGTGTGGAGACATTGATGGCAGGTACATGGTAGTTTTTTGAAGATGGCCCATTGCACATGAATGCTCTGTACTTACTACTGATTGTAGTAGTGTAGAGGAAAATGAGGTGTCACAGCCTTTCTCCTCCAGAAATGGCATTTCTGCAAGGTCAAAGTTATGACCTTGTCTGCTATGAGGGATTGTCTGCGGCCATTACCAATGACAAAAACCTGCTCAAGCTTCTGGCCCATGTTCTGCATCACCTGTTGTAGTGTATAATATGCTGCGTGATAGATGCCAAGTGGTTGGTCAGCTTGGTCAAAGTTTATGGTTCAAGAAAGTGCTGTTATGGGAAGGTGCAGAAGCAAAAGAAATGTGTTTGGCCCCTGCTAAGTGTGTGAGGACAAAATGAATGTTCTGTTGACAAATGAGGGCCAGCAGTGTAGATTCAGTTTGGCTCAAGTAACTTAGCTTGACAAATTCAAGACCAAACTCAGTCCTGGCTATCAAAGATTATAAAGATGCAGTCTAAAAAATTACCCGCTTCTTGAAAGGTTCCTGGCAGTGAAAAATTCTTCAAGCTTTTCCTCAGTTCAGTGTAGAACTGGGTATTTTAGATCATCACTGGCAGTAATAAACACAGTACTGACTTTTCTGGACCTACCTAATGATTCTAACTTATTAGTATGCAACTGGCCTCAACAGTGTTTTTTTTGCAGACATTTAAAAAATTTTTATCCTTCATAGCAACCTTGTATCTTGAAGAGTATGGACTAGGTTTTGAAATATGTGTTATTGTAGCTGAATGGGTGCTCAGGGTATATAATCATTCAATACAGCAAGCTAGAATTAGACGTGAAACGTAAGTGTCTTCTGTGAAGTAGAGAAAGAAGTTACATTTCTTAATGTCTGGTACAGAGAAGAGTCAATCCTCTCTTGTCTTTCCCCTCATAGCCCTTCTCTAAGCAGAAGATGGAGAGGTCCTGCCAGCCATGCTGTGAATAGTTCTTTCTCAGTAATGTGCATTGGAGAATAAAGGACAAGCTACACTGGCCTAAATATTACAGGGTAGCTCATGTTGGTTCATCTGATATAAGTTATGTCAAGTTAAATTAAATTCTCAGCTGCTTCTCTTAATCCCCAAGACACTGGGTAAATGCTGTACTTTCACAAGAAATGTAGTGAACTCTAACCCAGACAAACTCAGTTTATAATAACTCCAAAATCATGTATTGAATATCTTGCTGTGTTCCAGTATCATAAGTCAAAAATGCAACTGCATGCTAATTATGCTGTTTAATGCAACCATTTCAAAGTCTATTTCTAACCCTTTTTTATTGGTTTCACATTTTCTTATTCTATTAGCAGCCCATCTTCTGCTCCCTTCCCTCTCTATTTGACATTTCAGAATGAATAACAAAGCAGTTCTTTAAGCGCATATGTACTTTTCCTCAAGGAAATCAGGGCTTGAGCACATACATTGGTCTTTGCATGCATGCCAGTGAAGCGTGCATACAAATATGTCTGTCTTTGCTTACATACATGCCAGAGTCTGACCTTCCATGCTTTGAACTCTTGCTCCAAAACACAAATGCATAATTCAAGGGGACTCAAGCAGAACACTGTTGAGCATAACTTCTGGGTACATAGTTCCCATAGCAAACTATGCATACTTGAATTACAGTTCTAAACTGCTGTGAACCAGGAGGCGTGAATTCCTCAGAAAGAAGAAAGGAAAACAAGTGCGCTCGCAGCCAAGGCAGTCAGCACCAGCAAGCAGACAAGCGCTGAGGACTGTGTTCTTTCTGGAGAACTTCTCAGCTGAAGTGAGAACATTTATCTCCATGTGAATTTCAGATACAAAGGTGAAAATGGTGGGAAAAAACACCTTTGTGGGTCTCAAGAGACTATATGCAAGAGAGAAGCACCATGATGAATTGCCTTTCTGAAGTAAACCATTCTGGGTATGTGCCGAAGTGGAGCTTATAGAAAAAAGTCAGTCAGGTTCAAGTACTGAGAGGTGAGACAGTAGCTAAGCAGATGTTTTGGGGATAAGAAGGCTTGAATATTGCTTAGGTCTAGTTAAGTCTAATATGACTCATTCTTTTTTTTTCTTGCCCAGATGCTTATAATATGGTCAAGGGATACAGTTACGGTGCTGACCATAGTGTTTAGTATAACTGAATTCATTTATTAAGAATAAAAACAAATGTTCAAAGCTAAAGGTGGTATCAATCAAGTAATTTCGTGTCTCATTATATTGTGAAGAAGCGCAGCCCATCATGCCACAGAAGAATGTTTAGGAGACCAAATGTGTATACTGCTGCTTGTGTACATATTTGTTTTCCCTTCCTACACAGACATAGCCAAAGCTGATATATAAAAAGAAACGTGTACAGACTGGTAGCCTGTGACTACTGGTATACAGATTTTTCCTTTACTGTGCTCAGTATTTATCCTGTTTGGAAGTGTCATGGGAAATATTCTTCACATTGTTTTACAGCCCTCAGTAGCTAAAGAAAATGAGACCTCATTGCTGTAGAAAAAAACTCCACCCTGCCACAATTATTTAGCTACATGCTTGCATTCAGATATGGATATGCCCTTATTATAGCACAGATTTACTGACAGCTATGGCTACTGGGAGAAGCCTTGCTCCCCCTCAAATTACCAGTCAAATTTGCCTGCTTCCATGAAACCAGGAATTCAGTCAGTAATCACTGCCAACTCTGAAGGATATCACCAAAGTACTACTGGAAATTATGCAGAACTATTTTTGGGGGGGGGGGGGAATATCTTAGAAAGATATTTTCTTAAATACCATATAGCACAATTGTATGAATTAGCCAAATGTGCCTTCTGGAATTCTCACATCATTCATATGGAGGCTTTATTACTTTTGTAATTCACTCTTCACTGACTTCTCAGTAATGCCGTAAGATGTGCTGAAAACTCGTACAAAGGACATCATAGGAAACACAAAGCAAAATCTTTCTACAACCCACAGAATTTACTAAAGATTAATTAGTGCATCATACAGATGTGTTTCTATATAAAATCTAGACTTCACAGTTAGTGTCCTATAGCTCCTACAGCTGAGAAAAGACTTTTCAAAGGTTCTGTCTTTGGTGCCTTAGAAAATGTTCTTTCAAATTGTTAATTTGAATTTGGCCTAGATCATATAGTCCTTTAGTACGTTATTATAATTTGCTTCTTATTTTACTTAATTGGTTTGTATCTTCAGAGAATAATAGGGAATGAAGAATAAGAGTTATACACTCCAGCTACTAAATTTATTTTTACTAAGGATACAGCTGACTGCTTTCCTATTTTGAATTAAATGATTTGTTTGTACACTTAATTTTCTTCAGTCTCTTTTCATCAGCAGAAGAGTACTGATCAAGCACTAGCTGACCATTAGAAGTCAGATAAAATAGAATGATGCATCTTCATTACTATCATATTCTCTCTGAATTGTTGTGGTTTTTTTTTTCCCTTGCAGGACAGTTCTGTTTACGCTGACCTCTGTAGTTGTGCTTGTCATCACTACTGACTGGATCAGCTGGGACAAGCTGAATCGTGGATTTCTGCCAAGTGACGAGGTCTCAAGAGCCTTCTTGGCTTCTTTCATCTTGGTGTTTGACCTTCTTATTGTCATGCAGGTACACTTTCCTAATGTTTCATTCGAACTGCTGAGGCTGTGTAGTCACTCAATTTCTTCTAGAGCAAATGGTGTTTAGGTAAGACTACATAAAGGTAAATAAATGTTTAATTTGCAATTGCTAATAGTAGAGGCATTTTATAACACCATTCTCAGTGACTTTGCAAAAAGCCTGCTGGCCTTTTATTGTGAAAACATTGCTGATTTCTGTTCTTAGAGTACCAGGTAAGAACTCCATGACTTTTGGAATTAGAAGGTGCTTTCTGCAAAAATGACATCAGAAAAAGAAACAGAAGCTAGTTGTTTGGTAAATTCAAAGCTTCTGTTAGGAAAATGAGAGAAATTTGGCTAAACAAGAAAGAAATACTTCGTATTTCAAGCATTTACAGTATTAGATATAGACAAAATATAACATTTTAATAGATGAAAATTAGTATTTGCTATTAAGATTCCAGTTTTCATTTTCACATGAAGATGTGAAGACCTTTGATGACAAATCCTTATACTGCAGTCTTATGCTAGTGAGGTTAACTGGGGGAGATGATTCCCTGTAGTCTGCCTGATGTCTGCTCCTTTCAATCTAGCTGGTAAGAAAGGAATCTGGGTCACAAGTATGTGGCCAGAAGCCTCCTTCATGTGATGCTGTGCACTACCCTTTGCATTTGCCTGTGGTTTGAGCCTTGTGTGAATAATTCACCCGATGCTCTGTGAAAAATCATTTGGGCTGAGGCAAGCAAAAGGAGCCTGAAAGACTTGAGTGACTTTTGCTTATTCCTAGACATGTTAGACTGTTGAACTAAAGTTAGCAAAGACCTGAAGAACTGATGGGTCATTTCTCTCCAATATATTACTAACTCTGCTAGCAAAGACTGTTTCTGAGACACTTAGTTCTCTTTAATGAGATATCTATTGCTTGAGTAATTATCATAGAGGTGACACTGTGTTGGCACTCAGAATTTATCACTGCTGTGCTAGGACATTAAAGCGGCATAAAGTCCTATAGTTCAGTTTTATCTTCCAATGTTCATCACTGTTCAGTACTCACTGAGGTTCATGGTTCGAACAAGGAGGGTAAGAAAGGGAATACTGCTTTCCTAGTAAGATGTCTGGTGCTTTCTTTTCTCTCCCTTTGCATTTTACATTTTGTTTGCTGTTTCAAAAGGATTCAAGGGAATGTATAATAAATGATTGTACTTCACAGGGCTGTAATGAAAGCATGAATGAATATACACAATAATACTACATATAGTATCAATCTATACTGAACTTGATGGTATGCAGGGTGGAGAAACAGAGTTGTCTTCACACCAAATAATTACTAAACCATTCTTTCAACTTTGAAAAATCAAGTTCTATTACTTTGACCTTGGAGTTGCCGAATATAGGGAAGAATTTTGTTTGAAACAGCATGTCCCAAGTACTATTTCATATTTTTAGAACACAAAGCAAGAGGCAGGCTCTTTTTAATTGCATTTTTGACTGATTGTGTGATGGAGTTATTTATTTATTTAAAGTTATTTATTTGGACTGTGCAACTAAGTTGGCATGTTTTATTTACAGTGTAGTTCTAGCACCATTGCATTGCTATGGCAATAAAGTCAAGTTGAGACACCAAAGTATTAAATCACAAGTGTAGACCATCAGGATCATGATCCTTTGACTGATGTATGCTTTAAAATTACATGTGTCTAGAAATTCTTTCTAAGAGTGTTGTCTGTTTCACAGATTTTTTTCTTTTGTAACTTAACAAGCTTTAGCAACAAAACGGTAAAATTAGTAAAAAAAAAATGTTTAGTATTAAGCAATTTCTCTTTGAGGCTGATGTTAACTAAGAGCACAGAAGAAGTCTCATCCAGTTTTTGAGTACAGGCATTTTCTGTCCCTCTGAGTGGTAGCATTAATACTGCAAATGTGGCTGTGTTTAGCAAGAGAAAACCAGTTGAGTTTGGAAATCCATTCTCAATGCTATGAAAAATAATCACATCATTGGAAAGGTTGGCTTTGCCTTCCTAGTATTATTACAATTTAACATTTATCTAAGCCCTATGTAGAGCATAAGAAAGAAATAAAGGCCTGAGCAGTCCCTGCCTTAAAGAGCCACCTTTATTCGATTAGACATAACCCTGGCAGACATGTGAGGAGAACACAGACTGCTGAACCTTATACAGACAGTTATATGTGAGTAATACTTAAGGGTATGTGCACTTTTTACTTTTGGTTTCCATCCTGCAACAAACTGGCTGTGTCCCAGGCCCACTCTCCTTCTAGTGTGCAAAGGCTCCCGCAGTCCACGCAATTCACTGGATATTCAGGGACGGGTCAGGGGGACAAGCACAGATGAGAGACAGCATAGGAGACAGAGGCATGTGAAAGTTATGACCACAAAAATATTAGGACAAACTAAGAAAACAAATCATGGAAAAGGTTGCAGGACTATGACATGACCTCATGAATAGTGTGACTGGCTTCTGGCTCAAGATTGTGTTTCTACCTCTTCTGCCAACCTCACTGTGACCCAGCACTTCACATCTGTCCTCCCTGGAGTGAAGGAAGGGGACCCTGAGTGCCTGTTTTAGATGGCTGCTGTGTATACATCTCCAACTGATTTTAATCACTGTATCTTTATAGTCAATGAAGAGATGGAGGTATAGTTGGGGTGCTTTTAAACATCTACAGTAGGATGAAATGCAGCAGGCCCTAGGGGTGCACATTTCTCTCCACTGAGGACGAACAGACCCAACATGATGACCTGAAAGAAACCATCCCTTAAGCTAGACCCAGAAAAAGGGTTATGAGGGTGGCATGGCTTGAGTCAAGAGCTGCAGCTCTCCAAGGATCCTGCTCAGGTATTTCCACAGCTGGTAAAAGAGCCAAAGTAGCATTTCTCTGCTAGTGTTTTATTACAGAGACTTCTTCAGAGCATGTCTGACTCTTGGGTGCAGGGCAATCACTTCTCCCTCTGCTGCCTGGCCACGGTTTGAAAGGAATTTGTTTCACTGAGTCTAGGACATCATATCAGAGATTACACCCATTTAGGCTGTTTGAGAGGCAGCAGAGAGGCCTCTATTCCAGTTCTGGTTGTCAGGACATTTTATCCAATGTAAATACAAACACTGATTTTTTTTAATACAGATACTGCATATTTTATCTTTGAAAAAGTCAAATTCAGTCCAGTGTAGGAGAGCATTAGTTCATCTTAAAGGTCATGTGCTTGCTTATAGTAAGAAAGTAAATACCCTACAAATTTGTTATTTTTTCCGTAGTATGGAAGTGATGAAGTTAGTTATTTTTGCAATGTGATTAATTATGTCTGCCCTGATAATTGAGATGGCAAGATACCAACATCCGTACATTTCTGGCACCCGTAGCATTCAATGCTGTACATGGACATCTTTATATTTTTTATCTTCAGTTTCAGACAGAGTGCAAGACCACACATATTAAAGCTGTATATAGAATAATGCACTTATGAAATAGAACTTTTTACTGTTTCAATGAAAAATTCACATTTAGTTCTCTTTCTCAAAGCTGTTAATTAAAGGTGTAAATATGAAAAATGAAACTATAATCCTACATTCTGAATACCTTTCTTTGAGCAACAAGTAGACATTAACTCATTCATTAGCCTATATACTGCCTCTTGGGTTTTTTTTAGTGTCATGTTCTTAGTGACTTTGTTAATGGGTAGGATCCTGTGGTGTCTGGATTATCAAACCTTATGTGTCCAGGAGAGATTAATTGTTTCACCTCTGTAGTGTCTTTTGTGAGCATTTACAGGTTTCTCCAGACTTCTGAAAGACCATGGAGTATTTCAGCATCACTGTGGAGTTACACACTGTAGGTACCTTGCTGAGTGCTTTGCAAGTCCTTGCAGCCCTTAGACTTTCTGCAACTTTTTGTCTCACAGTACAATCAGATACGATATCAGTGATTTAAGTTACCTGAAAATTCTATTTGATTCCAAAAGGAGAATTTATTCTTCAATAAAGTGAAGAAATTCTGTAGCAGCTGAGAACCCAGGCAGTGCTTATATCTAAGATTCTTTGAGAAAGCTCTTCTATCTGAATATATAACCAAACTAACAAAATAATCCCATTAATATCAAATGGGAATGCAGTTGTAAATAAGGAGAATATGATTTTGTCCTTCTGGGTGACTTGAAAGAAATGAAGGTCAAAGAGAATTAGATGAATAACAGCATTCCTTATGACTAGTGCAGGATCTCTGCCATGTAGGTATTAGGATATCAGCAGACAGGGTTTTTTTTAATAATAATTTTTCAGACCTATTTTTCATAATATTTTTGTATGTAATTTGCTTTTAACATATAGCTATAGATCTCTCCTTGCCACTGCAGATGAAAATCAAAATATTTAATGGATGGCCTGTCACTTCTTTTTTTGTCTTCTTTTCTGCAGAATGTCTGGTCTTCTGTCTTTGGTAAAATTTTAGTAAGAGAATTAGAATGTTAGTTAAGAGTTTGAAGCAAATCTGTATTTTGGCTCTCCTATGTTTTTTTCCTAGTTCTTTGTATTTTCCTGGAAAAAAAAATAGTTAATTTAACTCCTTTGTAATGTTAATTATGTTTTGTATATGTCATTGTTAAAGAGTAACACAGGAATGTTATCAGCAAAATGAAACAGACTGGTCTTGTTAACAAATACATAAAGCAGGCACAGTTCTATTTATTTTCAGTTTTACGCTGATGGAGAGTCTGTTTTGATTAAAATCTAATATGATGTGTTTGCACGTTAAAAACCACCACCATCAAGTGCATACAAGGAGATATAATTTACTTGAATAGGTAAAGTAAAAGATAGGAGTAGAAATATGGTCTTATCCACACAAAGTGGGTAAACACTTGATTTTTAGAGGGTTGGGTTTTTTTAGAAAATCTATTTTAAGTTTGCAAATGTAATTTGATTGGGACTTTTAACTGGATTTACACTGTAATCTGACAGAATTAATTTACATGTATACAAATGAGAGGAGAATCCTGAT